AGCCAGCCAATGGGGCCAGGTAGAGGGAATGGGCCCTTCAATAGCCCTTACAGAAGGCTCCAACCATGGGTCCCAGCAACAGTAGCCCAGCCCAGATTCTGAGACCCAGCCATACTGGTCTCTGCATGTTCCTGAGTTCCTCTGGGAATGTTTACAGATTGTTAGCCTGGACTTCCTGTGTGCAAGGTACCAGAGGCCTTACCCAGGATTAAAAGTTCCTCGGAAAGAAAAGCCGTAAATTGTCATTCTAAGGAGTCAAGGGCTAGGACAGCTTCAGGGGTGGCTGGATTGAGGCTGTGCACAGTGTCATTAGGACATGGTTTCTCTACTCCCCGTGACCCTGCCACCTCATCTCTGTGTTGGCTTCCATGAGCTGTGGCTCTAGCCTCAGGGACTCTCAGGTTCAAACCCAGCAGGAAATTAGCACCTGTCTCTTCCCATTTGTTCAGCAAAACCCTGGATTTGCTCACGTGGAATTACTTGCCCGTCTGAACCAATTAGCTGTAACTTGAGTTCCTCCCCGGAACAGGAGATGCTACCAGGAGTAAGGAAAATGGATGTCAAGCTCCCAAATCAGGAACGCACACTACATGCACACCCTCGGCTCTGCCACTGGCTCTGGACATGGGCTGTCCCCTACATCCTGCCGCCGAGGCCACACCTCCTGGCTGTGCTACTGTAGAAGCCACTTCACATACAGCCTATGCACAGAGCTTTCCCTCAACCTCCCAGGCCCCGCTGAAGGGGAGGCATGACCTAGGGAAGAGAATGACACATGTCCTCCCTACCTGAAGGTGCCACCCTAACACTGCTGGTCTTCCTGTCCTGGGTCTTCAGTGGGCTGGGCAAGGCTTAGTGATAGAGTGCCAGTAGGGTTGCAGGGCTCATCCCAACCTGTGGCCTGGGGGTATCTAGAGCAGAAGTTAGAGAGATAAGAGCAGATGCTGAAGCAGCAGTTTGGGAACCACAGGTGCTCAATACAAAGGTCAGTGAGAGGGTTGGAAGTGAATTCTATCGAAGTAGCTACCAAACAACTTGCTGCCTGCGCTGAGTCTCCAGGGCCCCCAGAGAGAGACTTACAGTCATTGCAGATGGAATTAGTTAAGGTAAGGCCATACTGGAGTAGGATCGGCCCTAATCTAGTGTGTCCAGTGTCTATAAGAAGACAACCATGCGATAACACAGACATTCAAGAAAACAGCCATGTGATGACAAGGCAGAGATTGGAGTGATGCACCTGTAGAAGACCCCTGTAAACCACCAGCAGCTACAGAGAGGTAAAAGAATCCCCCCACAGGTTTCAGAAGGAACGTGGCCCAGCTGACATCTTCATTTCAGACTTCTCCAGCCTCCAGACTGGTAAGACAATTTCTGTTATTTTATGCATCTCAGTTTCTAGTACTTTGTTCCAACAGCCCCAGGAAGGTAACCCATCATGGCTCTGGGTACTGTCTGTCTGTCCCCATTTGGTACAGTTGTCATTGCCCAAAACACCCTTCAGCAACTGAGTGTTCTTCTCTGGATTCGGACCTTTCTTTTTTTTTTTTTTTTTTTTTTTTTTTGGAGAGATTTTTCACTGTAGGGCGCGTGCGCTCGCCAGACAGACAGAGAGAGACATAGAGACAGAAAGCGAGAAATCACCCCCCAGGGGGGATGGTCACACCGCAATCCCTTCTCCTCCATTCTCCTCTCGGGATCTTGGGCACGCACGCACACGCGCCCGGCGTGAGTTTTAAGCCACCGGGTCCAGGACACGAACCGCGGTCGACTACATGGGAGTCCAGCGACATAGCCATTACGCTAACTGCTGGTTCCCGGACCTTTCTGAGGCCATGCCTGCTGTCAGTCACTTACCCAGGAGGCAAAGTTCTTCTGTGCATCTGTAATCACCTCCACCGTGTGAATTTCCTTGCTATTCCCCTTCCTGGGCATTTCTGGTTTGTTCTTGTTCATCCAAGGCCAGACTAGCTTCCAGAACTCTGTTCTGTTCTACTAAGCTATCTCATCAGCAATACTGTGCTGTCTTTATTAAGGTACCTTTATGATAAGTCTTAAGTTGGGCATTGTAAGCCTTTCACTTGACTTCTTTTTAACACCATAGGTAAAAGGACAGTAAATTGTCATTGAGTCTGTTGTTGCTGCACCCAGAGCTCTCTAAGAAGCATTGGGCACCCTGGGCCAGGCAAGAGGAAACGGTAGCACAACTTCCCCTTTGCAAAGGCCACAGCAAGAGTGGACAGAGCCATGGTCTGGCCAACACTCCCTTGTACATTGTGCAAGAATCCACTAGCACTACAGCCTCCCATTCTCAGCCTGACACCATGGTCAGCACCATCAAATCATTTACTGTGACCATCCTGTGTCCCAGAGACAGAAAGGAGGCATGTAAGGGCTAGATGTAGCATTTGGGACAGTTCATATCAGTCCTTGCCAAGTATCCCTGGCAGGATCGGTAGTCACTTTTTCTACTGTCCTGGGCTGGCTAGGCTCTGGTGCCACTCCTTTCCCTCCTTCCTTCCATCTATGCCTCTTCCCCACATCTGGCACCTCCACATTCTGAAGTCTGTGCCAGAGCAGGGCACAAACAGGGCGGGTGACCACAGGCACAGGAACCACAGGGTCAGGGGAGCCTGGTTAAGTCAGGGACTCTAGGAGGGCGAGCTCAAAGTTGGGTACCCAGAGCGTGATCCCCGGCTGTCCCTGCTTAGCACCCTGGAGGAGCAGCTGTGTGCCAGAAAGACCTCAAGGTCCTGGCCTGTGGGTGCAGGTGCAGAGGGTGTGTGTGTCTAGGGCAAGGAGAGCGCATTTCTACATGACTGAGCAGCACTACACAGGTGACACGAATGATGGGGTGGGAGGCACCTCCTATCTGTCCAGAGCTTAACATCCATGTGACTCTTGAGGGCCAAGAAGAGCCAAGTCATAAGAGCTCTTCATAGATCGGGTACAAGGCCTTTATCAGATGACAGCTTTGCAAATATTTCCTTCCACCCATGTCAGAAGGCTTGTCTTTTCCTTCTCTCTACAGTGTCTTTCAAAGGACACAGTTCTTCATTTCGATGAAGTCTACTTTGTTTGCTTTTTTCTTTTTATGATGCATCATGCTTTCGATGTTTACCTAAGAAATCTCTGTCTAACCCAAAGTCACGATTACATTCTCTTTCCTTATAGAAATTTTATACATTTTGATCTCACATGTTGGGCTATCATAAACTTTGAATTAGTTTTTGTGTATGATGCTACGTGTAGATGGAGGTTAGCTTCCATATGCATATCCAATTGCTCTGTTACCGTTTGTTGCTAAGATTGTCCTTTCTCCACTGAATTTACTTTACACCTTTGTTAGAACCCATTGTATCTCTGGACTCTGTTCTGTTCTACTGAGCTATATCTTGTCAGCAATACTATGCTATCTTTATTTCTGTACCTTTATGATAGGTCTTATGGTTGGATATTATAAACCTTTCACTTGACTTCTTTTTCAGAGGTATTTGGACTGATTCTAGAGCCATCATGTTGCCACACACACAAACCTGTTCCCATAAGCATGTATGCATGAAACACCAATAAAAATGTATGTACACCCTGACCGGGTGAAATTTATTCCAGGAATACAAGGCTGGGTTTAGCATTAAAAGCAAGCCAATATAGTTCACCCTGTTAATAGAGTACAAAATAAAAACACATCATCATTTCAGTAGATTCAGAAAAAGCATTTGACAAAATCCAACAACCTCTATAAAAACATCCAAGCAAGGGGCCAGCAGGTGACATAGTGATTAAGGCACTGGACTCTCACATGGCCAACTGTAGTTTGAATCCCAGACCTGGAAGCTTGAAACTCACACCGGGCACATGTGCATGTGTGCCCAAAGTCCCAAGAGGAAAATGGAGGAGAAGGGATTATGATGTGATCATCGCCCTGGGGAGATGATTTCTCACTTTCTTTCCATCTCTTTCTGTTTCTCCAGCAAGCACACATGCCCTATATCAAAAATCTCTCTTAACAACAACCAAAAAAATCTAGCAAATTAGGAGTGAGAATTGAATGTCCTCTAGCTGATAAAAAGAAAAGTCTATCATTAATGTTTAATGGGTAGTATACTAAATGGTGACAGGTCGATACTTTCCCCTGAGCTGAGGAACAGGTGAGGATGTCAGCTTGCATCACCTGTGTATCTACATCATACTGCAGGGTGCAACAGGGCGAAGAGTCTCCATGGTGTCATTATTCTGCTTAAAGGATATCCTTCAACATGCGTTGTATGGCATCTCTCAGTGATAATTTCTTTCATCTTCTGTATATCTGAACAGCTCTTTCCTTTTGCCTTCTTACTGGAAAATATTTTCACTGTATAAAGGACTCTGGTTGACAATTTTTTAAAATACCTTAAGGAATTTTCTCTACTGTCTTACAACTTGGATCTTTCCAACAAGCAATTGACCGCATCCTCATCTTTGAGCCTCTGTGTATGTGTGTCTTCTTTTTCTGGCTGCTTGTAGGACTCAGTTTCCTAGGCATAACATATATAATAAAGATGTAGTAACTACACTAAGTATGGTGTTGTTAGAGAGTAGGTAAAACATCCAGTGGAACAGAACAGTGGGGCCCAAGAACAACCCACTTTAGTTCAAACATGATTTCTGCAGAGCAATGGCAAAGGATCATATTTGATAGAAATTTGCTGGGACCAATAGATAACCAGTGGTACATCCACATATCTGATTATGTGCCAGTGTGAACTGAATGTAGCCAAGGGCCAGGTCACAGAGCAGGGACAGAACAGGCAGATATGCAGGCAGGAGGAGTGGAATATACAACATGCCCTGCAAGAATGGGTCCACAGAGATGAAACAGAATCCCTACTTTTTCTGTTTGTCCCTCCTGCACCCTCAGCTTATTGGATGGTGCCACCTCTTTGAAGCTGGGTCTTCCTCTCTCAGGCTACTGATTCACACATCAATTTTATGTGGCAGCACCCTCTCAGGCATACCCAGGATCAATGCTTCACCCATCATCCAGTCATCCCTCAACCAGTCAGATTTACAAAAGTAACCATAACAAGGACACTTGTTACGCTCAGGAATATCAGATCTGCAAATCCAAGGGAAGTTCACCCTGCTCCCTGCTGCCTTTCTAGGAGGTCTTCTGTGGGATTTGAGAAGGATAGGTTATCAAGAGAGACAAAGCAATGTTCTCTCCAATTTGGATAGCAATTTGGTTACTCTGAAAGCACTCGAGTGATATGTTATCAAGAGAGCACATTGAATCTGCACTTTGGAGGATTTAACATGTTCTTCTGCCGTCGTCTTTTTGGGATTTCACAGCCTTGTGCCATAGGTAATCCATTACATTTTGCAGAGGCACCAAGCCATCAAGAAGGACTTTGGTTGTTCCCAGATCTAAGTCTGGAGTCTCCCCGGATTGCATATCTGAGACTCCTTCCCCTCATGTCTCCATATCACTCATCAAGGCCCTCTGGAGAATAATCTTCAGGGACTCTTTGCGCCTCTTCCTCCGGAAGCATCCGGTCAAGATGTAGACTACTGGGTGAGCTGTGCTGACCATGCTGGACAGGAGCAATAGGAGGTCAAAGGTCAGGGTCAGATACTCTTGTTCAGGCAGGAACATGATAACAACTAAGGGCAGGCCCCAAAGGAGGAAGGTGATGATCATGATACGGACAACATGGTAGATCCTGGCTAGTGAACACCGCTGGAAGCAACGCAGGCTATGGATGGTCAGGGCCAGGCTGGACATGCACATTAACAAGAAAATGAGTGTGTGGAATATTACAAAGCCCTCATGAAATGAATCACAGGCCAAGCCATTCTCCCAGTAGTCACAGATCTCATTTACCATGTGCAGGGAAAGGGCCAGGCCCCAGCTCAGCACACTCACCACAGCAGAGGTGTGCTTTGGGCGGTGGCAGCAGCAGTTGGGGAAGAGGATACAAAGAGAGCTCTCAGCACTTATGGCTGTCAGGAGACAGAGACCCACTGTGTCAGAGAAATAGGAGACAGGCTCCAGGAATATGGCCACATGTAATGTCACCTCGTGGTACAGCAGGAGGACTTCCTCCAACAGGATCACAGCGATGCAGGAGAGGTTGATGATGTCAGCAACGGCCAGGTTAAGGATGTAGGTTGCATAGGGGCAGCTTCGGACATGGAAGCAGAGAAGCCAGAAGACCACACCATTGCCCACCAACCCACAGAGGGTCACCAACATCATGAGGGGGAAGACCACTAGCTTGTACTCCAACCATTCACTTGCCGTGTCATTCATTTCTCCATGTCCGAGGGTGTTGGCCTCATAGTCTAAATCCAGCTTCCAGGAGAAGGTTGGGAGAAGCTGGGCCATGGTGTGCTGCCTTTGCTGTCTGGGCACACTCTGTGAAAGCAAAGTTTGGGTAATTTAATGTGCCTGGTGAGGAGAGGCAGCATTGCTCTCTGTCCTAAAAGATTCCTGCTTGGGCACCAGAGAGTACCAGGGATCTGTCTGAGCAGAGTAGAGGAGAGAAGCAAGCATTCTATAGATCTGTCCTTGTCCTCCTGGAACCTCAGATGAAGGAAGCCCTCTTCCAACATGCCCTTTCGTGCTCCACCCCACTCAGATATCCTGATGCTCTGTGCTATGCCCAAGGTTGGGTCCTTTCACCCAAGTCCTCCATAGGGCTGCATGAAAAAATTCATTTCTTGCACTGGAGCCATAGTGCAGTGGTTAGGCCCTGTGCACAGAGTGCTGAATCCACATGGCTGATTGCAGTTTGAATCTCAGCAGCTTGAAAAACATTCCAGGCTTGCAGATCTATGTGCCCCAAATCCTGATGATATGGAGAAATTGAGGAAAAAAGGATCGCAGCATGGCAATTTAGAGGGGACTGGGTGGGATTGCTTTCTCTCTGGTGAGCATGAGTGCCTTTGGGCAACCAAACAAAAACCAACAAAATGTTAAAAAAGAAACATGCAGGGACAGCTGGTGACATGGTGGGTAAGGCACTGAATTCCCACATGGCCAGCCATGGTTGAAGTCCTACACCCAGCAGTTTGAAAGTCACACTGGGCACTTACGTGTCTATGCATGCCCCAAATCCTGAGAAGAATGGAGAAGAGCTTGCAGCATACCCATGTCGCCTAGAGGGTGATTTCTCACTTTCCCTGCCTGTCTCCTGGGAGTGCTTGAGCCCTACAACAAAAACCTAAAATAAACAAACAAGTGTCTTTATTTGATTACCTTTGCCCATAGAGAGTTCTCTAACCTCTCTCATTGACACAAAGTTTTCTTTCCTTTTTGTTTCAAATTGCTAAAGGATGCCTATGCTCTTCAGAAGAGACAGAGAGAGGGATAAAGCACCCTTCACTGGGACATGGTCACACCACAATCCCTTCTCCTTTTCTTCATTCTGTTGGGATTTGAGGCATGTATGCATATGTACCCAGCATATTTTTCAAGCCAACAGAGTTCGGATTTGTACTGCATTCAGCCATGTGAGATCTGGTTCCCCTAACCATTAGGCTATAGGCTGACTCAATGCAGAGAGTTTTCATGAGGTAATTTTAGTGGAGGCATTGGAATGATTCATTTGCCTTGAGATTCTGAGACTGTGTGAGTCCCAGATGGGGCATTTGTCTTTTTGCATTCCGGTAATATGCTGGCTGGCCCCTCTTCCTCTTCTCTCCACCCCCCACCCCTTGTATAAATAAGCACATGCTTTTCCAGTGGAACAAGAAGGAAGGGTCTCCATGTGGACTTGGTTGTTATTACTATTATTATTTCATTTTGTTCATTGCCTTTTCTTCAACGCTTTTAACAGTGTTTGGCTCAGAGGAGCTGCTTGGGGAAGAGTCTGTGGAGGTGTTATGTCATTTAGTTACACTCAGGAACTCTGGGAACCTCTGTATAACAAAAGAGGCTCTACAAAGTTCCGAGGGAGACACACCTGAGCCCTGGGCTGTGCCCACATGAGCAGGTCCTGGGTGCCAATCACAAGTCCCAGGTTTTCTGTATAGCATGTTGCAGGGAGGGCAACCGACCTGTTCCAGTTTTCTTGGGACTTCTTCAGTTTTAGCTCCAAACATTTTATATCCTGAGAATCCCCACAGTCTGGGAATACTGGGGTGATTGATCACTGTACTTGAAAGCTACAGAGAAGATAGACAATACATCTGGAATCTGACAGCTGGGTTCGGCCAGCTCTCTCTCCCTGGAGAGAGACAGACAGGGAAAGTGAGAAAGCCAACTGGTCTGAGGAGTCCAGGCTAAGAGTGTGAGAGCCAGTCTTGCAGCAAATCCCAACTCCCTTTGGTAAGTAACTGACCCTTTTTTTGCCTCAGTATCCTTGTCTGTCTAAAGATTGTTATGGACTGAATTGTAGCCCCCAAACTTGCCAAATTCATATATTGATGTACTGATTCCCAGCACCTCAGAACATGGCTGTTTTGGAAGATAGAGTTTTTTTAAAAAGATAAGTTAAATGGAGTCTTTAGGGTGGACTCTAATCCAATCTGACGATGTCATAAGAAGAGGAAATTAGGAAATACACAGAGGGATAGCCATGTGAGGACACAGGAAGAAGACACCCTGTACAAGCCAAAGAAAGAGGGACCAGCAGTTGGCATAATGGCTATGTCGCTGGACTCCCGTGTAGTCGACCATGGTTCGAGTCCTGGACCCAGTGGCTTAAACTCACGCTGGGCATGTGCGGGCATGCCCAACATCCCACGAGGAGAAAGGAGAAGGGATTGCAGTGCGGCCATCCTCCTGAGGGGTGTGTGTGTGTGTGTGATTTCTCACTTTCTGTCTTTCTGGCGAGCGCACATGCCCTATAGCAAAAACCTCTCAAGGAAGGAGGGAAGGAAGAAAGAAAGGGAGGGATCTCAGAGGAAACCAGCCCTGCCAACAACCTTGATTTCAGTCTTCTAGTCTCCAGATTATTAGAAAATAAATGTATTATCTAAGCCACCCGCTCTGTGGTCTTTGTCATGGCAGCCTGAACTATCACAGTTGTGATGAGAACTTCACAGACTGAATCATATGAGGTCTCAGAACAGTGGGATCTACCTGGCACTAGAACCTTGAGCTGCAGAGACATTGCTTCTGGATCACAGAAGCTTCTGGAACTACTCATGTTCCACAAGCTGATCAAAGCCTGCAATATATGTAGAACTATTCCACAAGCAATTTTAGGGTCTCCAATCACAAATCAATGCATCATTGGGGTTCCAGGAGAACTTTAGGGACCAGAATGCATGAATCTTCCCTCCTTGCCAGGACTGTAAGGTCTGCCTGAGTCAGTGGCTCTACTTGAACAGAACGATCTGCCCACGATACCACTCCCACCTCTCCCCATGTCACCACAACTCTCTTATCTGATGTCTGAGGAGGGCTGCTGATCTAATCTGGTCATATGATGTGGTTTGGTGCCTGATATCACTGGTGCCCATGGAAACAGCAGGGTGAGAGATGACAATGTGCCAGTATCTTATGGGGTCAGAATCAGAACCTTGTGACAGTAAACAGGACCCCATGGCCTGACCCAGGCACCAGGGCACATGCAAGATTGGTTGGGCGTTGGTCCCCAACAACGAGAGGGGAATCTATCAATGACACAGTTTCAGGAGGAGCAAGGAGAAAAGGCCCACACAGGAGGCACATGACCTTATAGGCAGAGCACAGGCTCGCTATTACTTGAGCCCCAGCTCATGCCCGGAGCCCACCACTGAGTGCTGATACTTGGCTCAGGTGGAGAGACCCCGGTGCCTGGCGTGACCTCTGCCCAGAGAGAGCTCAGCACCTGAAAATCTCCTTTCAGAAGTGTACTATGAGCCAGGCTCCCCAGGGAGCAAATAAAAGAGGTTGGATACGGAGACCAAAAGCCACATATGATGGAGATGCCCGGTTCAGTGCATCAGAACAGTGCACCTTTGCATTTGGGCCCAGGTCACCACTCTGGTTCTGGAACGTGAGCCACACCCCCTCTTAATTTTTATGTGATAGGAAATTTACATAAAACTAACTAATTTGAAGTGAACAGTTCAGCCTCATTTAGTACATTCATAATGAGCAAACACAACCTTGTTTGCCAAAACATTTTCATCACCCCAGGAGGAACCCCTGTACCTGTTGACAGTTACTTCCTATTCTCAGCTCTTGGCAGCCACCAGTCTGCTCTCTATGTCTATGGATTTACTGATTCTGGACATTTCATATAGATGGAATCATAAAATATATGACCTTGGTGTCATATTTTTTTTTCACTGTGCATGATGTTCTCAAGGTTTACCCACATTATAGCGTGTGCCAGAACTGCGTGCCTTACCTTAGGTAAGAAATAAATAACATAGTTAAACTGTTAAGTCAGAAGATCCGAAAAGATAACCCCAGAAGGTCAAAAACCAAATCCCAGTAATGCAGTGGCTCAGAACTGACTGACAGAGGGATATACTCCCCATCTGTCAGCACAGTCCATGGCATGTGGGAACCAGGCGGTCAGAACCCAGAAGTAGCTCACTTGCTAGGGCCCCCCAAAGGAACCCAAGGCCTCCAGGAACCCTATTTCTATCCTTTCCAGCTTCAAGTGCACCTCCCCCATTAAAACAATCACAAGCTTTCAACTCCTGAGTAATTTGAACAAAGGTAGATAGATCCTTCCTCTTACCTGGGAGGTCTTGGAGAGAATGACTGTCGCAGAGTCAAGAGGCCAATATCCCGAGAAATCGAAGTCATGCCCTCATGCTAGGAAGCGCTCTCAGTGTCGCTGCTTCGAATTGGATCCTGACCAGGGGTGGTCGAGTTCTCCATTGTCCTTGGACCTTCCTGTATTAGGGCCACTTGCAAATCAGGGCCCAGGCCTTTATCTCCCGCATCACATCTCAGAGTCCCATGATGTCCCCCTCCTGTCTGACTCTTCCAGCTTATCTGTTCTCACCCACGGTTGCCACAAACAAGGATCTTTAAGACAAGTCTAACCTCTTGTTCTGCATCTGTGTCCCACACTGATGTCCCGCCCAGCCCTAACTTGAGATTCTGGCTGAGTTTTTTCAGTGAAACACTCAGTGGAAGAACACTGGGAGCTCAAATGCACTCTTCATTTTACTGTGAGAACAATTATATATTTTCCAGTAAAGATGTAGATGTTCTCGTAAATCTGTCTCAGACCCTCACCCTGGACTCACCAAGCTGGGGAGGTTTAGCTGTGCTTTGCTGAGCAGATAATACCTCTGGCTGGGTTATATGAAAGAAAAAAAAAAAAAAGATATCTCTTTTTCCCCAATAATTTCAATTGAGCAATCAATTAATTTTAATTAAGTCTAAGTCATCTGGAGTTCTTAAATTTAGAAATCAAAACAATGCTTGAAAATATAGCATCTTTATTCCTCAGTTACTCTGATGTCATCCTAATCACTTGTTTGTGTATTCTTCACAAGAACAGAATAGCAGGTACAGGCTTCTAGGGGAAAGAATTCTCTTTTGAAACATAACATGATGGAGAGAGTGTGGAAGAACAACCTTCCCCATAGGCAGTCAGATTCCAAAGAAAAAGGAGGAAGAAGGCACCCAATGCCCTTGCCCAGAGCCCTCCTCCAGATGCGCTCTCAGCAATGTCCCTTGTAACTGATGCTGGTCAGAGAATCCCCCCCAAATGGGAACAGGGGGTGGAAAACATGTCCTCACATGCCCTGTGGTCCAGAGATGTGCAATCTGATTTCACATTTCCATCATTCCTCATGCAATGAACTGGGAAGTGTTCCTTCCGACTCTATGCTCTGGAAGACTTCATGTAGAATTGTATTACGCCCAGCAAGTGAGCCACTTCTGTGCTCTGGCCTCCTCGTTCACATGTGACATGGACTGTGCTGACAGACTGCAGAGAATGTTCATCCATCAGAGATAGTGTCTGAGTTGCTGTGTTACTGAGATTTGGTCTTTGACCTTCTAGGGAGATCCTCTTGGATCATCTGATCGAGAATCCCTAATCTGGAAATCTGAAATCCAAAATGCTCAAAAATCTAAAATTTTTTGAGTTTCAATATGATGCCACAAGTGAAAAATTCCACACCTGACCTTGTATGATGTGTCTCAGTCAAAATGTTGGGGACCACCAGGTGGCATGGTAATTAAGACACTGGACACTCCCACATGACCGACCATGGTTTGAGTCCTGGACCTGATAGCTTGCTTTCTCACTTTCCTTCTCTCTCTCTTTCTGTGTCTCTCTCTGGTCAAATTAAAATAAATAACAAATGAAATTGAGTAAATAATTATTTTTTTAAATGCTGTAATACACAGATATTATATCAAATTACCTTCAGGCTGTGTGTACAAGGTGTATGTGTGAAACAAATAAATTTCAATTTCATCTTGAGATTCCATATCAAGATACCTTATACATATATATGCAAATATTCCAAAAGTATGAAAAAAAATCCAAAACATTGTTGGTCCCAAGCATTTTGGGAAAGGGATACTTGAACTGTATTTTATTTTCTTTAGATATTTATTAGAATTCACCACTGAAGACATCGGGCCTGAGCTTTTCTTTGTGGAAAGATTTTTAAATTACTAATTCAGTGTTTTTATTTCATGTAGATATAGTCATATTTTCTATTTCTTCTTGAATCAGTTTTGGTAATTAGTCTATAGAAATTTGTCTATTGATCAAAGGTATCCAATTCATTAGCATAAAATTGTTCATAGAATTTCCTCGTAATTCTTTCAATTTCTGTAAAGTTGGTAGTGATGTTTGATGCACAAAATGTTTAATTTTTCATGAAGTTCAAGGTGTCTTTTTCATTATTGTTCTTGCCAAGAAATCGTTGCTGAATCCAGTGTCACAAAACTTTTGACCCATGTTTTCTTCTATGAATTTTAAAATCAGGTCATACATTTAGGTCTGTGACCTATTTTGAGTTAATTTTTATATATGGCTTTACGTGAGGGTCCAACTTAATTCATTTGTATATGGGTATTCAATTTCCCAGCTCTCAAATCCTTTAGTTGTTTGTTATTATATAGTGTTCTTTAATTGTGTCCTTACTGGTTTCTTTGAGGATTAAAATAGACATCTTTTTTTAAACAGAGACATTTTTTATTTATCATATACATTTTAGGTGCATAATATGTTTATGTGTGTGTGTGTGTATAATGAAAAGATTACTGCAGTCAAGCAAATTAACATGCAGGAGAACTTCATGGAACAATTGAATTAGAAATATGAGTTTGTTGTAGAACAAAAAATGTTGAAATGCATGCATAATGTTTGGTGATATGCATTTTCCATGAACTCTTTGAAGACTTTTTGTATTCAACACCTTTACACCAGTCTCTGGGCCACAGACCAGTGTTGGTCCATGGCCTGTTGCCCACCACTACCACCCCAACCCGGGAGATGGGGAGTGGGCACACCAGCAAGGCTTTGTCTGTGTTTGCAGCTGCACCCCATGTTCACATTGCCACCTGGGCTCCACCTCCTGGATCAGTGGTGGTATTGGAGTCTCATGGAAGCACAAACCCTATTGTTGTGTGATTGTTTCATTGTGTATTATAATGTGGTAGTGGTGGAAATGGGGTACACAGTGGATATGGTGTGCTTAGGTCATCGTGAAACAACCACCCACCCACCCCCACTTCCCCACCCCCTGGGTCCATGGAGGGATTGTCTTCCATGAGGCCCAGTCCCTGATGTTGGGAAGGCTGGGGACTGCTGACTTATATAGTTTCAATATTCTTCTTATTATTATTATTACTTTTTTGGTAAGAGCACCCAAAATACACTCTCTTGGCAAATTTCCTACATACAACACAATATTACTAACTATAATCCTCATGTTGTACTTTGCTCATTATTTAATTGGGTTATTTGATTTTGAGGGTTTCTTATTTATTATCATCATTTTGGTATTGAGTTTTGCAAATTCCTTACATATTTTGAATATTAATCCCTTTATCAGATATATAATTTGCAAATATGTTTTTCCCCAATCCATAGGCTTTGTTCTCAATCTGTTCATTGTTTCCTTTGCAATGAAAAACCCTGGGACTGGTAGGTAGCATGGTGGTTTAAGTGCTGGTCTCCCACATGGCTGATCATGGTTCAAGTCTTGGGCCTGGTGGCTTGCTTTCTCTCTTCTCTCTCTCTCTCTCTCTCTCTCTTTCTCTGTCTCTCTGTCTCTCTGGCCAAACTGAAGAATGCTAATTCATTTAATTTAATTTTAATAAAGAAATTCTCTCTAGCCAAACTGAAGAATACTAATTCATTTAATTTAATTTTAATAAAGAAACTTTTTACTTTGATGTAGTCCCATGTAGAGAGCAGCAATCTGAGAAAACATGTGACCTTTAGACGCATGCAGAAATGCGCTTCCGTGAGCTACTCTAGCAATGGTGATCGAGAGCATTTATGTACGAAAAACGCTATCTGCCTGTTATGGGTTATCTTCATGTTGTTGCTGATACCCAATACCCAATATTGCAGGGCAGTACGAGGCTAAAGGAAGCTACGTGTGTGAGTGTTTATCAGATTTGCCCCCAAAAGATCTGAGAAATTATATGGCACCAGTCATTTCCACATCTTCAGATGATTTACATCCAAAACCAACTGGCTTTGTGTCCTATTTCCTCTTCCCCCATTATCTTTGCATTCCATTTCCTCTTACCCCATTTTCTGCCCTTTAAAGAATAAACCTGGGGACCAACAGTTAGCATAATGACTATGTCGTTGGATTCCCACGTAGTGGACCGCGGTTCGAGTCCCAGACCTGGTGGCTTAAACTCACGCCGGGCATGTGTGCATGTGTGCCCAAGATCCCAAGAGGAGAATGGAGAAGAGATTGTGGCGTAGCCATCCCCCCTGGGGGGTGATTTCTTGCTTTCTGTCTCTCTGTCTCTCTCTGTCTGTCTGGCGAGCGCACGCGCCCTATACCAAAAACCTCTCCAAAAAAAAAAAAAAAAGAATAAACCCAAGGTCTGTTCCAGGTCACAACTTCTCCATTGGAGAAGCTGAGCCCACCCAATTCTCGCTTTTCTATACTTGTGTGTCTGTGTGTTTCTTGTTGCATTTCTTTCTAATCCACAGCCTTCCCCACTCAGAAAAACGTGTTCAGCAGAGCAGGTCCTGGCAGTCCCACTTGTAAATTTTTGCTTTTGTTACCTGAGATTTTGGTGTGTTATCCAAAATAAAAAAACCTTTGCCAAGTCCAATATCAAGAAACTTTTTCCCTGCTTTCTTCTAAGAGCTTTATGGTTTCAGATCTTATGTTCAGGAATTCATTCGGATTGATTTTTGTGTATGGAGTAAAAGTCTGGTTCATTCTTTTGCAAGTAAGTATTCAGTTTTCCCAATACCATACACTATGTTTCTTGAAACAATGGACTATAGACTAATGCTAACTTATTTGCAGGAGGATATAGGAAAATGCCTTTTATAAAGGTTCCTTCCCAGCCCTCTCCATGAGCCATTTTTGTCATACATCATCATATAAGACCAACAATACATTTTTTTTACTTTTTCTTTTGAGATAATTTTGGATTTATTATCACTGCAGATAATGTTGCAGTGATAAAATGCAGCACTCTGCAAGGCAAACCACAAGGGAAGGTTGCCAGTTCACATCTGGAGACATCTCTGAGAACACATGGCTTGTGTGTGCCCGTGATCCAGGTTTGGCTAAAGCTGGGGGTGGATCATGGTGTTGAGACTATCAGAAGAGCTGTATCCATTTCTTTCTCTCTCTTTTTTTTTTTTCCTTTGGGGAGAGGTTTTTGCTATAGGGTGCATGTGCTCACCAGAAAGACAGAGAGAGACAGAAAGCGAGAAATCACCCCCCAGGAGGGATGGTCATGCCGCAATCCCTTCTCAACTCCATTCTCCTCTCAGGATCTTGGGCACGCACGCACATGCACCTGGCATGAGTTTAAGCCACCAGGTCCGGGACTCAAACCGCGGTCGACTACGTGGGAGACCAGCGACATAGCCATTATGCCAATTGCTGGTCCCTCCAATGCCTTTCTGTATGTGTTTGTGTCTCTCATAGAGAATAAACAAATAAATAAACTTCAAAAAATTTTAATTGCAAAAATAGTACAGAGAGA